TGTACTAGCAATTTCCCTCTTTCATCTTGTGCTGTAGCTCTGTGGAAGCAGGAGGGATTCTGGGCTCCGAGCCGTCGCTCTATGTAATTGTTACCGAAATGAAATGAAAAATACAGAACACATTTCAAGTAAAACATATTTTCTAATTGCAAATTATGTCTTTGTTATTGTACGCAAATAGTTGTTTGTGTTTTCTTTTTTCTTTACATACAAGAACAGGAAAAGAAGAGTGGGGAAAAAAGTACGTGCTTTATTTTCATACTAAAATCTAGGAAACAGGATTAGTCTGAAGTTTTCAATCACAGTTATCTCCTAAATGAAATGTGGAACAAGGGTGCTAATGAGCATAAACATACTGAATAATAAAATGTAATTTGTGCTCCAAGTCCTAGGGCTGTCATCCAAAACTCACTGCTATCTGTGGAAAGAGTTGCCTTGATTTGAATTAGGCCTTGGCTTTTGTCCTGGAGGAGCACAATAGCAGAGGAGCTATTCACGAGAGCAGTGTTTGGAAATAAATCACAGGAACACAGGCTGGAAGGACCTCGCGCTGTCAGAACCCCACTCGCTTGCTAATTTGGCCCGTCAGCTTTTACAATGCCTCTTGTGGCAGCACCTGCTCAGAGTTCCTTGCATGAACCAACCAAATTCAATCTCAAAAATTCGTTTGCCACCGCTGCTGTAATTGCACGGTTGTTTCTGAGTCATTACTCCGTTTGAAACCTTTTCCTAACTTCCAGCTTAAGCCTATTCATGCCCACTTGTTTCCATTTGTCTTATGCCAACATAGTCTTCTAGTTTAAATAGCTTTTTGGTTTTTTTTTTTTCCTTCTCTGCCCTTTTCTAAGCTGGTGATGACAGCCATGGCTCCTCTTAATCTTTGCTAAATAAGCCAAGAATTTTAATTCTCCTTTAGTAACTTTTTCATTCCTTTTATCTTAGTAGCCTTCATTTGAATCTATTCCTATTGCCTTAATCTTTCCAGGAGGCAGGCACCAAACACYATATTTCAGGGAGGTGTAACAGTGCTTTAGGTAATTCTGTTAGTATTTTTCTTACTTTACTGTGTATACCCTTCCAGAGAATATCCAATATTATGTTTGCCTTCTTATGGCAGCATTTCACTAATGTTTTTACCCTGGGATTTAACAAGGGTTCCCCAGGTGAGCTCCTGTTTAGGAGCAGARGCAGATTTTAGTCCACGTGTGTGTGGTGATGCCTTTTGTACTGTGATATTTGTAGTGTGGATCTGTTGCTCCAGCACTCGACGCTCTGCTCGTCCTCTTCGTTAATTGTTGGAGGAAAGAGCAGCCTGAATGAGTGCGTTGCTACATGGTGCTTAGCAGAGTGAAATGAAAATWAAAAGGAAGAAGCTGCTAGAGGTGGTGAATAGAAAGATGTGGGAGCTGACACGAGGTGATGGGAATGTCCCCTGGAACATTCACCACTGTGAATGTCTGTGATTCTGTGAAGTGGTGGCCAATGATAGGACAAGGCGCAATGGGTGTAATTTGAAACCCAGGCAGTTCCATCTCCATGTGAGGAAGAACTTCTTCACTGTGAGGGTGCCAGAGCCCTGGAACAGGCTGCCTAGGGAGGTTGTGGAGTCTCCTTCTCTGGAGATCTTCCAAACCCGCTTGGATGCCACCCTGTGCCCCATGCTCTGGGTGTCCCTGCTGGAGCAGGGAGGTTGGACTAAATGATCTCTAGAGGGCCCTTCCAACCTTGAACTCATTGGAGTCAGATTTTACTTCAAGAAAGTGTAATAGTGTTGTTTAACTTAGAAAAATCCTTTCTTTTTTTTAGTGAATCTCAAAATATTCTGAAACTTTCAAAACTTATTCTTTGAAAGCATTGAAAAATAAATCTGGAATTGAGATGATTATGAATCTGAATCCTGATCAGAATCCTGATTATGAATCCTTCATCACTGAGATGAAGGAGAGAGGATTTGCAAAGCTGTTTGAAATGGACATGATGCATTCGCTTAGAGATCAGACTGACTCTGAAAGACTTTTACCTGGGCAAGTGAAAGACKGATTGGAAAGACTTTTACCCAGCACATTCCAGAGGCAGCAGCAATTAAGGCATAAGGTGTTTCCTGGGAATTAATACCCAGCCAGCAGAAGCTGTGACAGCTCACGATGCTGAGGGACCATGAAGTGTGGCTCATGATGGATGTCTGCTAAGGTTGGCTTTGATGAACTGAAAATATAGAAAAACGCAAGAGGTTTGAATTTACTTAATGGGAAATACAGTTTCGTTGGGTACAGTGTTTGGAGTCCATCGTGGACAGACTGCTCTGACATTTTTAGGAGCCTTAATCAAAGCTGGATCCCTAAAGCCTTGCTAGTATCAAACTGGAAAGTGAGCAAAATAAAGTCCCTAGTGCCTTAATGATCTCCTAGTTCTACATTTGGCATCTACTACTTAATCGGCTTTATTTGCTCCAGTTTGTCCTTTCAAGGAGATATACTCTCATTAAGGAACYTTGTGCCCAGAACACCTTTTACAGCCACTATTTTTGGGCCTTGTTTTAATGTCCCATGTGCCCAGGTTTGCACTATGGCACCTCGCAGCAGCCCCAGCCAAGAGCTCAGCTCCAGACTGGTGCAGAAAGAGGGTGGGCGCCTGTAAGAGACCAAGGACACTCAGTCCTGCTCTGCTGGGCTGGAGTGGAGCTGTTCCCTGATGGATCATTAGGTGGGACAGCCCCTTCCCAGTGTCCAGGCAAGTCCCTGCATCGTTCATTCCATGACTGGTCAGGGATTTTTTATGATGTGCTGAATGATTTGGCCACATGTGGGGACACAAAGGGTAACCCGATGGGCTGTGACACGTCCTGCTTGCTGCTTCCTTTCAGCAGCTGTGTTAAAATGCATCGATCGTCTCATGGGTAAATGAGCTTGTGGGTCTGAAATAGTGAATGGAGGTAACTCGGAGAGGTAAAGCTTATTTAGCTAGTCATCTGTTCCTTAGATTATGAACAGTGCTACATATTTTTGAGTAGTTCTTCAGTCTTGAAGTCTTGTTTTTTATACGTGCTTGTTCCCTGTCCTTTCCCCTCCTGCCCTCCTACTCTCCCTGTGCTCCTCATGAAGGTTATGGCATAAAACACTCGAGCACGGAAGGACTGAGACCGGCTGCTACTTCTGGCTGACCTTGCTGTGAATGTGACTCRAGGTGTTCCTGCTTAGGAAATACAATTTTGCAAAACTATAAACAGTCTAAAAAGTAGAGCTTATGCATGAAACACTGCATGTTTTCAGTGGGAGATGGTAGAGCTAGACCAGCCCTACAAACCCATTAACTTAACGCTGTCTGTGAGATTGCTCCGTGCCTCTCCTTACCCTCACCCAAACCACCAAGCTATCTCYGCTGGTTTTATTCCCCTCTAACATATCCCCTGTGGTAAGAAGAGGAGGTGAGTGAGGTCAGGCAAAATGAAATGAAAATCATGAGAGCTTAGCAGGGAAGTTCTTTTGTGAGGGTGCCAGCGATGGGAGTCGTTACAGGGAAGAAGACGGCGGAGCCGGCAGCCAAGGAGACACSGTCGGCAGGTCGGCATGTGCGCGTCAGTGCTCCCTGCTCCTTACAGTGAAGCTGGTCTGTATTTCTAGGTAACTCTTCAGCAACCCTTTAACACTGATAGGGACTCCTGCATTTTAGTGCTCCTTGAGGCCCCTCCTCTGTTCTTCAGCGTAAATTTTTCAGGGAAGTTCTGCATTCACAGAATGTTCAAGGTTGGAAGGGACCTCTAGAGATCATCTAGTCCAACCTTCCTGCTCAAGCAGGGACACCAGCTCATTCCTCACTCAGYTTGTAAGAGCAAGAGAAAAGTATAGATTAAATTACCTAAACTGACCCTCGTCTTCTGCAGCCTCTCCTAGTTGTCAGCTCAGGGATAAGAACTTGTTTGCTTCCATGAGAACTAGAGAAGTTACRTTTTGAAATTCTTGCTTGCAGATGTACACAAGCATACAACAGGTTTTTGTAATTACAGAAACTTCTCAACCTGACATAACAGCCTTCAGTGTATGAAATGGTGTGAGAAATCATTTTAAGTAGTACTTTTTTCCTTTTTTTTCCCCCAAGATAACTGAAAAAAAAAAGGTGCTTTTATTCTGGCTGATTTCCATCCTCTATGATTGTATTTGAGACTGGATGCAATTTGAAAGCCTGAGTTGAACCCATGGGTTAGACTAAAAGGGAACTGGTCACTTTTGGGCTTCATGTTTTATAAATCTGCCACCATGTGAAGGAAGAGACCTGTGCACGTGTGTCAGAGTTGATTCAGTGACTTTGGGTTCATTTCATGATGTAGACTAACCTCTGTGGGAAAAAGAAAAGAAAAATTATGGTGCGAGTCTGATCCTGCAGGTGTAACATACCTTGAATTGCTATTCATGTCAATAGCTCAATCTATAGATCTGATATATTTTAGACCTTTCTTTTGCAACGTTAAACTAACTTTACGTATTTCATCTCCTTTTGAACATGGAGGTCTATAACCAAAAGGTTTTAAGCCTGAAATTTCTCTTTGGGACAAGTCACTGCAGTTACCTGGGTATCTGTATTGTTTTTTTGTTAGTTTGTTTCTGCTACAGTCACTCTTGAAAAATTGATATATCTCTGCTCTACTTAAATGCCCAAACRTCCAGAAAACCTTCCCTGTGACACAAAAGACCTCTGTGACGTTGCTGTTGCCAATGCAGCTGTTGGTATCTGCACTGCGCCAGTCACCGTGACAATTTTGGGGAATTTTATGAGAAGCTGATGCCTTTTCCATGTTCAGGTTCCTTGCCCCAAACATTTGCCGGAGTCCAGCACTTTCTTACTTTCTTTTCACAGAGCCTTATTAGTCTGTGGTCATCCACCCCACAGGAGCCACACAACTACTGGTTGAACAACTGCCAGCAAGATTCAGATCACATTTGAACACTGATGTAATGGACCAAAACACAAAGTTAATCTTCAGCGTTGTTCTTTTTCATTTGCAGGAGAAATTTGAAGGTTTGTTCCGTGCCTACGATGACTGTGTGACATTCCAGCTGTTCAAAAGCTTCAGACGTGTGCGGATAAATTTTAGCAGTCCCAAATCAGCTGCTCGTGCCAGAATAGARCTGCATGAAACACAGTTCAGAGGGAAGAAGTTGAAGTTGTATTTTGCACAGGTAATGAAATCTGTTACGCACTCACATATTAGAGCATTGCTTCTAATGAAATAGTGCCCAGTAGACCTGAATGAGAGTAACAAAAATCTTCCATGTCCAGTCTCTGCTCAAGGATTACTCAAAGCTCCTCATGTGGTCTGAGCTCTGCGTGCCTAGTGGGTCCGCCCTAAACCTGAGGGACCCATTAGGACCCAAGTTACTTATATAACGCAGAGAAGTTACATAGCTTAGAACAGATTTACAACACTTGGTATTTTGCATGGGGAAACTCTGTAAACTAACCACAAGGAAATGCAGAAATGTTAAGTATCTTAAGTTCTTAAAGGGAGAAAGATTAAATGACTTTTATCTGACTGTAACTCTGAGCCAGAGCCAGGCTTACTCCTACCTTTTGTTGTCCTTTTAAATACATGTGTGAATTTGTCCTTTTAAATACATGTGTGAAAGGAATTCAGTAAGTTCACTTGACAGGGAGGTGCTCGAGGGAGGAGAAAGCCCCCAGCCAGCAACACGTGCGAGTGATTATGAGCATCTGTTAGAAGCGGGAGATGAAGGTTAGATTCTTCTCAAATGACGGAGGCAGAGAACCCACATCTCCCACAACATGAGGGACTGCAAATACCCAAAACAGACATGTGCTCAAGTGAGTTGTGTGGCCCTAGCAGTCACAGCCAGGGTGCAGAAAGGCAGGGAAGTTGGGAACCCAACCACCATCTCTTCTGAACATTTTCCTATTAACTGGCTGTGGCCACAGGGGCTTGTGTGACAGTCAGCAGTGCCCGCAAGGCTTTTTATCCCAGGCTTGCTGTCACCCAGATGCAATTTACTGCTTCTGGGCTTGAGCTGGCCGTAAACGTGCTCAGATATGACTGTAGTTGTGGCATAATTCATCTGTACTGAGGCTTCTTTAATATACTGGACAAGCGCAAGAATTAAACTAGATAATTTAAGATAGAAATAAAAGGAGAAGATTTTGTTACTGAAACAGCTGACTGAGACTCATTATGGAGAACTTTATCACTTTACCTCAGCCTGCCAAATATTCAGAACTTTTGTGAAGTTCCCGCAATGGCCTTGGTGCAGGAGCTGCTGGTTTCTAATCTACTTCTGGGTTTAGACCAGTAGATCATAAAAGCCCCTTTTAGCCTCACAGATCTCTGAATTAGCAGCTGTTCCTCAGAGAACATATCCAGCTGGTCCAAACATTGCAGCTTTGCTTGTGTAACAGCCCCCCATGGTGCATTTACCGCAGAGGAGCCATCTGCAGGGTTGAGATGAAATGTGTCTCCAGACCCTGTCAGCTGAGGCTGCCGCTGAGACCCTGCCTGGGTGTCATTTGCCATTAGCAGTGTGTGATTTGAGTCATCATCACCCATCCTAAACCAAACAATATATTTGTTATGCTTTAAAGATCCAGACCTCGGAGACAGATGGAGACAAGCTTCACTTAGCCCCACCACAGCCTGCGAAACAGTTTCTCATCTCGCCTCCAGCATCCCCACCTGTAGGGTGGCAACCGATAGATGATGCGACACCTGTCATCAACTACGACCTCCTTTATGCAGTTTCCAAACTAGGACCAGGTAAGTTGATGAGCCTCATGTGAAAATGTGTCACCAAACACGGAGGAAAAATAGCAGTGTAGAGGAGTAACTGTAGAGGAAGGTACTGTAAAGCCTCCACATTGCTAAGGTACATGAAACCTTTGGGTTTAACTTGATGGCATTAACTGGCTCTGTGCTTAAGAGTGAATGTTATTTTATGACATTCCTGTGCGACATAGTTATTAAGTTATTTCTTAACTGCAGGTAGGGTGCTCTGCATTACACAGAGCAGAGGGTTATTACTGTGCACAGGGTTAGTCTAAAGCATGGCTTGTAAATGCTCTTTGAGTAGCAGATCAGAGCTTATTTACATACCTTTTTGTTATCTTTTTTTTTTTTTTAATATGTATTTAGATGGGACAACTGATGATGAATTTATGCATGGGCTTGGCAAATGCTTGTCCATGAACTTAAAGTTTTTACTTTAAATCAGATCTGCTGGAAACTCCAAGGTGGAGATCACCACAGCTTGAAGCATGATTGTATCTCTGTCAGAGAGGAGAATCTCTCATGCAAACAAATTAACAGAGAGGACMACTCTGTTCAAAATAGTGTGCAGAAAGGAGATCAGTTGTAGCCTATATCAAAATGAGACAAATATCAGAGGACAGTGCAGATGGTCTTTGTTTTCACTGCTCATTTTTAGCTGATGTTAAGAACTGAAGACTAGCTGGGATTTTCTAGGCAATTCTTTCTCCTAGAAAATGCCTGTCTGGTGAAACTAAGCGTTTCATAGGAAAGGATTAGTTTCTATTTAATTACCTTTTAAAGGAGAGTTTTCTTTGATATTTGTTAAAGCATTTTAAAGTTTCTAAAACAGAAAAGGTTCTAATTTTAGGCCTTGGCCATATCATTTAGGAATTAAGGTCTAATTTAAGTTCCTAAAATATAAGAAAGAATAGTATGTTAAATGAGCTTTATATTGAAACAAAACCGTTCACATTCAATCTAATGTATATATATATAAAATTTTAACTCATGAAAATTTCTCACAGTTTATTTTGAGGATTCGGGAGRGGGATAAGAATTTTTTTTTTTCCTTCAGCTCTACTGAGCACGTTGCTTTTTTTGTTCTGGGAGTAGCTTCCAGTTTCAGACATCTTATCACTGGGCTTCTTGTGTAACTGCTCTGGTGAACAGAGCCACCCAGAGCTGAAGGAAACACGTGGGGTGAAGGAAGGTGGCTGGGTCACACACTTTGCAGGATAAGACCATGTCCTCTTCATGGGGTGATTTTCCCTTCCCAGGAGAAAATGCCCATCAGGAGAATTTCCTCTTGTCTTTGATTCCCCTTGAGACAGTAAGTCTGTAGACAAAGGCTGTCGGCTCCAACAATTCGTACTGTATTACGGATTATTATTTTGAGAATTGATGTTTTGCTTCCAAACTGCTGAACAAAAAGAAAAAAAAAGAAAACAAAAAATACCCTCTTCCCCCCCACCTTTTGATGCATCAGCGTTATAAATGGAAGCATGTAAATGAATCCCATAGCTGGCTTGGTAATAAATCGATTGCTGCTCTGCAGCAGCGGAATGTGAAATATCACTCATTGTTCCGCACTCTGGGACAGCTTTGTGTGAAGGTCATATTCGCCCTTGTTTAAGGAGCCTGCAGGGAGCTGTATTAAAAGCCATTGTGTGCTCTCTCCTTTCTATTTTTAGCACTTGTTAGATCAATTTTAGTTAACTGCAGCGGAGGCTTTAAAATACTGCTGCAGTTCTCAGTTGTGCATTTGCTATGTTTAGGTTTTCATTGAAAAACAAAGCCCTCCAAAACTCGCTGCTGGTGTCACATCAGTGAAACGTCTTTCTGTCCATCAGATAATACTGTCAGCCTCATGTGCTTGTTAGATAAGTTAGATTATTCCATTCAAACAAAAACACATCCAAAAATGGATTTACTGCTTAGCACCTACTGGAAGCAAATTCACTTTTTTTGCACAGCTGCTTATGCAAGTCAGAATAGTAGACCCTGACTCTTTCATCTTATAATTTGTGGGGTTTTTTTTTGCTGTGTTAAATACACTGATTTGGTAAAATCTSTATGTGAACTAAAGCCCAGGACAAGGCTGGAGCAGGTGGGTGGTTAAGTGTCCCTGTGTCCTCAGTACAAGGTGAGCTTTACCCCGCTCCTTCCCTGGGAGGGCAGCTCGTGGCCCTTGGGCACAGCGCACACATCCTGCCCGTGGACACGGGCCAGCTGCCTCCCCAGCACCCGCAGGAGCGCCGGCCAGACCRCCCCCCAGGTGCAGAGGCTGCAAGAACTCCCCGCACAGCCAAACCAAAAGGTTGGACGTTGGTTAACAGATTTTATTTTTCCAGGTGCTGTTTTGGGAACATCCTTGGGGTTTTTAGGGTTTTTCTTTGGTGGGTTTTTTTGTTGTTGTTGTTTTTGTTAGGGTGTTGGAGTTTTTTTGTTTGGTTGTTTTCAGCTTTACAGCTGCAAGAAAATCTCTCTAGGGTCTCAAAAGCCTAAAATGGAAGATTTCTTCCTGTGCACTAAGGAGTAGACTTTGGTCCTGTAGCATGACATTCGAGTTCTGTGCCCTGCATTCTTGTGGAAGATCTTGGTGTCTTCAGTTTCTGGGTGACTGAGTGTATTTTTCAGCTCTGCAGATGGAGAGACTGAGCTCTGAGTGAGAGATGAACAGAATGCAGTAGCCCCCGTGGATGAAGCCGGCAGCCTTGACGGTGTCTAATTCTGAGCACTAGCCTATGTTTTTTTTCGCTGCGCTGCAAATAAAAAGATCTTGTCATTAATCTCAGTGGTGAGAAATGCTTTCACTAGCAGAAGAACTTCAGTCATTTAAAATATCGATGAAGATATAAAGACATTGCAATGAACCACGGCAGGAGTTCGGGTCTTTGCCAGTCAGGATCAGTTCGTGTGTCTTCCAGGCCTGGCTTTAACCTGGCTCTCCCCTACRCAGACACTACCTGCAGAGCTGCTGTTTAGTGTAGGGCTCTTATTCTTTGCCATGACATTTGTATAAGGTCCTGATTTCATCCCATGGAGAAATACAGGAAACAAATCCCTGTGAGCAATGCCTGCAAAAGAGGAGATCGCTGGACCCAGGCTGTGCACAGAGCCGAGCGGCTCCTCTCTAAGACCAGGCAGCTGCTCTGGCCCCGCCGTTTATTAGTACTKGGTTTTGCAAACCCCACGCTGCAGGGGCAGCCTCGTCCCGTGCCGGCCACCCACTGCCCACCCAATGACAGCCACTACTCGAAAACCAGTGCAGGGCGGGCGCCAAGGTCAGTAGCCCAGTACACAGGGCCACCAGTTGGGTTTCCTATGCATTTTCCAGTCCYTCAGTGACCTTTTACCAGTCTTTGCACCTCTTAAATGGCTGCAAATCATGTTCTAGATCATGCAAAACTTCTTTTTTTTTCACAGAATGAAACACCATTCTGAGGTGCTGCACGTTATGGCTCTTAGGTCCACAGAGATGCCACTCAAGACACAGAGGAGACTCTGCTGGTCTGTGGCTTCTGGGTCTGAGAATTGCTAGTGCCCAGGGCAGGGGTTAGTCAAGGGCCTCGGTTGTGTCTCTGGGCTGTTCAGATGCTGCCGTCCTGCTCCAGCCGGGCTCCGTGAGCAGCACGAGCAGCTCCTGCCCCTGCTCGGCCTCGGCCTCCCCTCGGCGCAGGAGCGACAGTGGGGAGCAGAAGAACCTGCTCCGTAGCAGCTGCTGCTCCCAAGGATTTCAAACCACGTCTCAGGCGGCAGGTTTTCCGTGCCCGGGTGCTTTCAAGCTCATGCTAGGCCTTGCTGATCCAAGAATAGATCTAATACTTCATTTGGCTTCAGAAGCAGGCAGGAAGGGCTAGAAGGCTGGCCAGGGGAGGAGGGTGCCCTCTGTTTTGGACTCCTGGGAAGCAATTCCACCTTCTGGGATAGGGCAGACCCGTGCAGTAGAGGTGCCACGTGGCCTGGGTTGTTTATCAGTCTCAGCAAATCTGTGTACTCATAGCGAGGAGCAGCGTAATTAGCCCCATGTTGTTTGTAGAGCACTTGGATGGGGGCACTGTGAGTGGAAGGGATTATTAAGATGCTAATGACATGTTTAACACGCGGCAGACACCTCTGAACCCATTAACCTTTAATCAGGATTCACAATCGAGGATGAGGTAACCGCACAGTATCACTACTTTTTTTTTCCCCATGATTAATTAAGTATCTGAATGTTCTCTTTGCTGGACAAAAGCGCCTCATCACACAAAAGGGGCACCAGCAATGCAAGGTCAGAGTACTGATGCACAAAAGCACAGAAATGCACATGCTGTTATTTTTCATTCTGAGGGTTGCTCTGGTTCTCTTGCTGCTCCTGGGGGTCATCTCGCCTGCAGCACCTGAGGCTGAAAGTTTATGGCTTATGGCCAGGCCCACCGTTGAAGGGTGAAATTTTAAATTCCTATTTTTTTTTCCCCCTTGTGCCAAGAAAATAGAGCAATGTTGCCACTGTTTTCACAAGTTTGTTAGGAATGATTGCTGGCAGCTCAATATAATGGATGTGCCACATAGATTAACTTTCCCTGCACGATGCCCTTAAGGTAGAGTTTAGGTATTAGCTTATTTCATAACTTCAGTGACTCCTTTTTCATGAATAAATTGATGAGTGTTTCTCCTATGAGCTCCGCTTATTCAAGTATCTGGGCAGTCTGTAGCCCCTAGAAGGAAGGGTTTGAGAAGGAGATAGTCCAAAGACTATGGAAGGAGAAGACAACTCCTCCCTAGGAGCCCTCTGGCTTCACCCAGGCAGGTGGGAGAAGCAGGAGCAGAGGGACAAGGTGGAGCCCGAGGATGTCGAGGGTCTGTGACCAACAGCAGCAGAGCCGGGCGAGCAACCACAGGAGGTGACGGTGGCCTGACACCCAAGCCCAGGTTCTGTTTCCTGCTCTGAGCAGGACTTTGTTTTGCTTCAGTGGTAAGAATGCTCCTGCATGAGACACGATGCTGAAAACTTTTGCTGAGCTGCGTGGCCGTGTGACAGGAGTCTCACATTTCATCTCCTAAATCTTCCATTTGCTGCACTTTGGAAAAAAAATAATGCTCTTCTAGTGTGAAACATCATGTAAATGATCAGCAAGTGTAAATTGAGAGCTGCAGAGAATGGGCTGGAGAGCAAAGGAGATAACAATATAACAAGACAAGTGTTTAAATGATATTAACTACAGATTCTTGTAAGCCTTAATCCTGCGAACTTGACTTGCGGTTGTTAGTTTGGGATAACCTGTGGTTAGTAAGCCAGGCCTGACTGCAGTGATTCGATCATTACTGCAGTAACACAGTAACTGCTACGGATTTAAGTCTTTTTTTGTTTTATTTTTTAGCCTGTGTGTGTGGGGAGGAGCAGGAGGAGATGCAATCTCACTATGTCTATTGAACTTTTACATTGTACTTAATATCTTAATATTTTTGCAACAACAGAAAGAAACGCTTTCAGGAACAAGACACCATTGTATAAAAGCCCTTTGGCTCCTTTTGTCCTGCTCTTAGCCTACTCATGACAAGATTGTCCACATTTTGAGCCACAGGTCTGCAGGCATGAATAATTGTGAGTACAGAACTGGGTCTGTCTGCAGCTCGTTTCTGCTCAGAAATAACTGTATGCCTTAAAAACCCAATTTACGGGTGCATCACATTTTGCTTTGCAAAGTGGCATTAATTGCTGCTGCAGTTACTTGCGCCAGAGGCAGCCGAATATTTTCCCTAGTGCCTGTACTTATTTCTGCTGTTCTTTTCCAGTGGGAAGAATCCTTCCGGGAAGGATTTGACCAGTAAAAGAACGTGGCATTTTGAGCTGGGGTTATTTCCTTTGAAGAGGGCAGGGAAGGGGATTTACTGCGTGGTGTCGGGGCCCGGGGAAGGGCCCAGCTCTGCGTGCGCAGAGCTGCTCGCGGCCGCCAGTGACCGGCGTGGCCCTCAGTGCTGGTTGGCAGCGTTGACGTCAGCCCTTCGCTGAGAAATCAGCTGCCGCCCGCGGGGAAAAGAGGCAAAGAAAAACCACATAATTTCTCAGTGCAGCGCAACCAGGCTATTTCTCTTTTTATATTTCAGCCCATCAACAAGACCTGTAATGCTTTGCTCAATTTGGATTCAGAGGAAGATGCCAAAAATAGAGCAGTTAAATGTCAACATTAATGGTATCACAGCAGTAAAATCTCTCTCACAGCCAGATGCCTGTCTCGTAGCTGTTATTYGCTAGTTGCCTCCTATATTTTAGGCAAAAATGCAGCATGTCCTCTAATCCYGGCCACGCAGTGCTACTTGGGCCAAGAACTTAGCAGCACGGATACTTTGTGATGACAGTGCCAGGGCTGCGACCCCTTCCTAACAGGAATTACTCTGCCCCGAAGTGGTGAATACCTAAAAATCCAGATTAGTGCCACAAACAAACTCAAAGTACTTCGAGTTAGACGCAGCCGTTTCACTGTATAGTACCTAGCACTGTTGGTTTCTGCCTGTGATGCAAGTTTTTAGGAGGTCCTGTACTACAAATATATGGAGGAAACTTCGCCTTCCTCATGCCAGAATATTTTACAGACAACAAGCACCTGATTTAGGGCAGTTCTGTAAATAAAGCCCAAGATATATCAGGCGTACGTATGCTCATTGTAAGCCTACTTGAATGTAAATGCAGCTTGTGGGTCTTAGACTTGAGAAAAGTGGCCCTAACRGGGGTGCAGCATGTTGTCTGGAACGGTTTTACCTGCATTACCTAGCACTGCTAATGAGATCTGTCTCCGAAAGACCAGGTGCATCGTGTCAGAAATGCCAAACCCCTTTATAAACACGAGTGCGTTTCACTGGGCTGCTTTCCCGTGGAGCCCAGTCGGGAGCACCGTTGGATCCAGCCTCCATCAGCCCCTCGGAGCGAGGCTGAGGTCACCACCACAGTCCAGCCCTGCCTGCCCTCCTCACTATTGAGGAGCAGCAAACAGGCGTCCCCTGCCCACGCGTGGGACCCTTCTGCAGTGCAGCAGGGCCAGCCCCCGGCAGCCTCTCCGACTGTCACCCCCTGAGCTAACCCTGTCTCTGCTTGCAGGAGAGAAGTACGAGCTGCACGCGGGCACGGAGTCCACCCCCAGCGTGGTCGTGCACGTCTGCGACAGCGACATGGAAGACGACGAGGACCCAAAGAATTCTCCCAAGCCAAAAATCATTCAAACTCGGCGCCCCGGTCTGCCACCTCCGGTATCTAACTGAGCCTGGCCGGCAGAAGCAGCACTTCTCTCCTCCAACACAGCTCTTGGGTTTTTGTTTGCTTTGTTCTATTGAAAGGCAGCCATTGCCTCGTGAGTAGCAGGACATTCAGCTTATTGAAATCCCTCACAGTAATCAAGCCTGCGTAACAAAAGGGCTAGGAAAAAAAAAAGATCTTTGTATATGTAACCATATCACACACCAACTACACTAACAGCTTTTCTGGAAAGGACAAGAACAGGCTGGAGCAGGAAGGGAATCAGTCTGAGGGCTTTTCACAGCTGTAATTGGCAGGCTGTAACACCACCACCAGAGAAGTCAGTTGGGATGAGGAAATAGGCTGATATTCAGACTCCCGCAATACTCACTGCTGCCCTTCATCAAAGGGGCTCTTCCCTGCCCTCCTCAGCCCCCAGCAGCCCTTAGTCTTTTCCTTTTTTCCTATTTTCCGGAGGTGGGTTATTTTTTGATTATTTTTTTAGTCTGCCATCAGCTTAGTGCCCTCTTCATCCTTCTGAAATTTTTCTTACGGGGCAGCATCTTTACAGCATCTTTCAGAAACGAGAGAAAAACACCCTCTTCCCCCAGCTGCTGCAGAGCCAACTGGTCCCTGATAGTGGTGGGGACCCCACTCAGGGCACTCTGGGCTGAGGGGAGAGGGATCAGCCTGCTGAAGGCTCCAGCATCTTCCCATCCTCCCTAAGGAGGACGGGGTCAGAATATCAGCAGGAACATTTTATCTTCTGTAAAGATACGAGTGGTGCTTCTCTTTGAGGGCAAAAGAGGAGCCGGCTGACGGCTGATCTGGGGGTGGGATTCATTGCTCTGTTGGAGCTGCAAGTTCTGCTGCTGCTAAAGGCATCCGCGGTGTGTTGAATAGCCCTGAAACCATTTGCAATCAGTTGCACGTCCYTAATAATTAGGCCCTTTTCCTCTCTACTTCCTGCGCTTTAAAGCCTTTCTGGAGCTGTATGCAATTTGGGTTTGTGGAGGTGAGGAGAAATTAGTTGGTATTCTTTGCGGGTTTCTTTTTTTCTTTTTCTTTTTTTTTTTTTTAGGCCAAAGAAAACAGGACCATAATTACACACTTGAAATTAGACTGCATGAAATTGAATCCCCTTTTTCACTATGTCCTGCATGTTTCTTTCTCTTGCTATGTATACTGGGTTATAAAAGTATTCCGTGTTTCATCCTGGCTGATAGCAGGCAGATACTGGATTCCCTGTCTGGTCGATCTTCCAAGATGATTTTTTATACGTTTCTGTCATTTTGAGAACACATTTCCTAGGCTCTGATTTTGCATATACTTAAGCATGCGCTTAACTTTATGCACATGAGTAGTTCCACTGAAATTTAATAGTGCAGAAAACTGAGCATATGTGTTAAGATACAGTGGGATTTTTAGGCACAGGCTAATTAACTGCAGCATTACCCCCCAGAATGACTGCAAAACAGCACGGTGAAATTCCTTGGTTTAAATTCTATTACAAGTTAAAATAAGTTAAAAGTCTTRGAAGCTCTGAAAAATCAACTTGATTTCTGTAATCAAGATTTGGGCATAAAAACGTTGGATTGGGTTTCTGAGGGAAGGCTGCATTTCACTCTTAATTAATAAGGCTACAAAGCCTCAGGAGAATCAGGGTCCCCCTTTGTGCCGCTCTCGTTCCCCACAGTGAGGACCTGCTGAGGGGTAAGGACTTCCCATCCTCGCGTAGTCCGTTCTCTCACCACCGCTAGACCCCTAATGTTCCTGGTGAAGTGTAGAGCCCTACTTGGCAGGTAACTATAATGTGGTAGCTCTTAACGCCCTGCGGAGCTTGTTGTGTACAGGCACTAACAGGAGCATGTGGAAGAGCAGCGAGTGACCAAGAAATGAGGCGTTAGGATCTTCSTGATTCCTTGAGAAGCAACTCTTTAGAGGTCTCACTGCAATTACTTTTCAGGGATGTATTTAGACTTAATTTAAATAATTGATCACTCACTGCCCTAGCACTGAAAGGTGACGCTCCTCTTGCAAATGCAGGCATAGCCCATGCGTTAAAAGTCTGTTTACAGAACGTGCTGAGTGCTCGTGGGCTTTAGGCTGACCCTTGGCCACATCTTCTAATGTGAAGTAAATTGCTCACAATCRTCACTATCAAAACTGACGCTTTGGAATTTTATATCTAAAAGTGTTAGAGGGCTCAGCCTTGCCCTTGTGTCTGTGTACTCGAACCTGGGAGAGATTTGGCTTGGGATTGAATTGAGGAGTTTTTGGCTCGCAGTGACTTAAAACAGTACTGCAAATAAACCGTTGGATCTTATCTGTTCTTTTCCCAAGGCATGTTTGCAGACATAGATTTAAAAACAGGCCTGAATCAATGATTCTTATCTTTATAAAACTGAATAGTACTGTTTTGGAGGAGGTAAAAATAGCTCCACTGTGTGAAACACAGAAATGCAGTTAGGAGATTGAGAACTCCGGGAAGCTTGTTGTGGCTATGGTCAAAGTTTAAAAGTCGCCCTTGTGTGGTAAAATACAGTCATCAAAGCAAAATATTTCAGGTACTACGCAGTAACTTTTCTATCATAAAAGTAATAGCATTTCTCATTGTCTTAACCTTGCATTTTGCCAGCAGCTGGCTCTTGTCTGCCTAAAGGAAAGGCTGCTTTCAGAAAATGCTGAGCCTTTGGAAAAGGAAATTTCCTCTGTAAATTCAGTACTTCACATTGTGTCGTTTTGCCCAAAACGAAGCTGCCGCTGACTTAGCGGGAGCTTCCCTCGCTGCTGCAGCTCTGAGCTCAGCCTTGACACGCGGCCCTTTGCGTGGGGGGTCTCGGCAGCWCTGAGGGGGATTCTCTTGTAGTAACGTCAGGAACAAGAAGGAAGTCTCCTGGTTGTGTCAGTGTTTCTGCTGCACCGAGGCGGAGATGATGCCCCTCTTGTTGGCGCTCTGAGCACGGGCCTGAGCGAGGCTCCCCTAGCGCCGCTGAAGGCCTGCAAACGTCGCGATGCCCAGAGCAGGGSGTTTGGGGAGAATGCAGGATTTCTGTGGCCTTGGTCTTCTTTTGTTTTGTAATTAAGACAAGCTAATGCAAGCCCTGCCCCTGCACTTACACACASTCACCAACGACTTGTCTTCAGCCAGAAAATAGAGCAAGAGCATCCCCACCGCAAACCTGAACAAGAATACACACATAGTCATTGTAAAGTGCTTTATTTTACAAAAACGTGTCCCAGGGCTAAAATACAGTCCATTCGTTCAACATTTGCTCCTAAATAGAGTGAATATTTCTCCTTTTTTTTTTTTTTTTTTCCTTTCTCCATCAGTGACAATGAAAAGGTTTCTGGAAGGAGACTGTTCTCTGTATGGGATGATACCTGACTGAACTGTCTTTTGTAAAACTTACAAAAAGTGTAACACTGTGACAGTTATTGTTAGCATTTCCTTCATATTGTACATACTTTTGAGATACTCTATTTAGTCATATTTTATAGGAGTATTGAGCTAGTTGATCACTTTTGCACTTGTATAATTCAGAGCTTAGTTTCAAGAATAAATATGGCAAATGATTTTTGTGTTCTGCTTGCCTCAGCATTTTGAAAAACAACATTTAAGAAAGTGGAACCGTGTTAATAAACTGACTAGTGTGATATACAGCACTGCTCTCTTAACTAATAGATCTCAAACAGCTTAAATGCATGACAGGCCAAACTGTTTCATTAGGAAGTGGGAAATGGGAGAGGGAAGAGGGGGGAAATAGGGGAGGAAGCCCTGTGGTTTGCAGGTTTCGCCAAATTCCCTTTTAAGCTGCTGCAGTACCAGTGAGTCACACAAACTTGCACGTGGTCAGCGTGGATGTGGCTAAGTGTATGAAAAAACACACAAACCAAGCCCAGAAAAAAACCCTGCACCACCAGGTGATCAAAAATATATCATAGAATCACAGAATGGTTGAGGTTGGAGGGGACTGCTAGAGATCATCTAGTCCAGSCCCTCTGCAGGYGCAGGGACACCCAGAGCACGGGGCAMAGGAAACAAGAAAGCTAAAGAATCCCTGCCAGCTCAAGTGGTTCTCCCAGTACTTCTGTAATAATGCATAAACATAATGGGGGCATGTATTTAAATCAGTAATATGACAACCAACTAATGCCCAAACTGAGAAGGAAAAAAGATCTGTTAGTATTAATTATAAAARTATGGGAGTCATCATCTGGAGTGATTGTGTTCGTGATTTTTGCTCAAAAGACCCATTTCTCAAAGGAGAATATTCACGATTCGGAAAGTTAGATCCCTTTGAAGTTTCATACAAGTGCTCAGTCACTGATTCCTTTTTGAATAGACAAGCCTTAACCGCCAAGTTTTGATTAGAAAAAGTTCTAATACTCATCTTTTTACAGAGAACCTTGGAATCGGGAGCCAGGTTATTCTGTACACTTGGGGAAAGCTCTTTTCCCCGTGAGCTTTCCCCAAGCACAGCAGGGTTCTTTAGCTGATCCAGCAGAAACCCTGTCTTACCAACCTGCTGCCTGAGGCTCTTCTGTCTTGCTGAGCACTGGATATTCTGCCTGAAAATAATCCCCGAGCCGCTGGGGGTGCTGCATGTGCCCAAGGATTTCAGGCTGCTCTTGGGTTGAGGACAAGGATGGCTCTGCGAATGTAGCTCGTGAGCCCTCGACTTGTGCACACACACGGGCAGTATTTATCTACACTGGCACTTGGTGCGTGTGAGTGGATGTGCAGCCTAAACCCGCATGTATCAAACATCGGGAGGTAGGGCTAGTTCCTCCATTTCATGGATGAGGGGGTTTAAGTAGGTTATTATGGATGGATAACTTTGGCTAGTGGTAAATGAATTCATTTCTGTTCCTTCTGCCAAAATGTAAACATTTTACCTCAAAACATCCATGTGCAACTTTTTTTTTTTTTTTTTTTTTTTTTTNAAAGACCCATTTCTCAAAGGAGAATATTCACGATTCGGAAAGTTAGATCCCTTTGAAGTTTCATACAAGTGCTCAGTCACTGATTCCTTTTTGAACAGACAAGCCTTAACCACCAAGTTTTGATCAGAAAAAGTTCTAATTTTTTTCAGACATTAGCGTCTGCATTTCCTTGTTTCCCTTCTACCCAGGAAATCCCATTTAGCTCCATTTCACTCCCCAAAAAACCCAGGTCTGGATTAAAGTTCTGGACAGACCCTGGCTTAAATCCCTCCTCATGCAATGCTTTTGAATAGCATTCAACTGGTCGTGCTATCAGAAGCATCAGAACTTGCTTTTTTGCTTGTTTTGCCGTGTCTCCTGGGAAAACACAGCAGCTCTCAAATATTCTGGGCTCCTCTGCACACGAGGGGGTTTGGCTCTTGCTCCACGCGCGCCCGGCCGGCCGCATTCCGGGTGGAAGCGCAGGGAGGAAGGGCCCTCCCCGCTGCTCCGCACGTGCCCTCCCGCAGCCCCTGCGGCTGAGCCGGGGCCTTTGCTTTGGCCTGCAGGGCCCCAGGGACAACTACAGCAGCTCTCGCAATGGAAAGGCGGGAACGCCGCATGCCTTCCCTGCAGACGCTCGAAAAGCAATTAAAAAATGAAGCCTTAAATTACCTCTCCCTTTTCTTAGCTGCTTTATCAGCTTGCTCAGCTATGCGGAGCTTCTGGAGCTGCAGTAAGTGCCACCCATGGTTTCTTTAATTGCRCCAGTGCAGTGGCTGCAAGTCTTGCAATCTGGGACATTATCAGTGGGGTTCTAGCTAGAGAAATGATGTTCAGGACCTTAAGAGACATTTTAAATTTAAGTGATTGATATAAATAGAGCCCATTTGCTATCCGTGAGTCAGGGGCTTCCTCACCCACCTCCGTAAGAGTACCCAGCAAAAGGATTAAACTTCTCTAGACACCAGAAAAACAGATTTGACTAATAAATCATTGTAACTGATCATTAATCTAGTACAAGAGATTTGTGTCTACATTTGTGCCACAAAGATGTGTTCCTGTCACTACTCAGTTAAAGTAAATGTTTTGAATCCATTTTAGAGCAGACTTCTTGTGCAGAAACGTGAAAGGAAAATGTCATCCATAATGACTGATGGATCCTTAACTGTCGATTTGGCAAGTTGTCCTACCGTAGGTAGCTGCGGAAATATTTCATGTGTGTTGTTGTAGATTTGAAACCATTAATCCTGTTCTCATTCAGGTGTCTGCATTTCGGACACAGATGTGACATATCTGTATATATTATAAATCAATACTATTTTTAACCATATATTTTGTACAAATATTCACATTAGCTCTGTACTTCAGTGAAAATCTATTATGGTATTAAACATTTTGGTGGAATTAGCAAAATCCTTGCCTATGCTTTTTTTTTTTTTATCTTATTATTATGGCAGTTTTACACACCCTAGGTATTTCTTGCACTCAAGACAAGTGCTATTTGTTTCCAGCTACTCCTAATGGTACTCAAAATCCATATGCACCARCTCTTCTCCCTCTAGTGACTAGTTCCAGCCACTGCAAAGCTCGCAGGTCACTGTAACTGCTCAGAGCTCGTCGTCTGAGCGCTTAAAAATGATCGATTTGTGTTAAACTTTCAAGAGAGACTTGCAGATATTCAGGAACGAAGAGTGAATTTTTCTCCTTGTATTGACAGGCAGTTCACAGTACGGCTGGCCTTTTCCCAGGTTGGTTTACCAGTCCAGGCAGCGACGCCATGCCCCTKTATTGCCAACCTTTACACACTTGTCCAAACACAAGTAACATGAACAGTGACCGATACAATAAAATTCACATCTAAAAGACGGWGAAAATTGACCTCGTCCCCCCTGCGGCGCATGCGCCCCCTCCCGCGACCGTTACTGCAAGTGAGTGACAGTGCGGTTGACCAATCACAGCGGGGCAACTCCCCGCCCTCCCCCGGTGACCGTTACCCCGAGCTGAGCAACAGCACTGCTGGCCAATCACAGCGGCTAGGCCCCGCCCTCCCCACGGTGATTGTTACTCCGGGTTGAGCAACAGCGCTGCTGGCCAATCACAGCGGCAGCTCCCCACCCGCCCCTGGTGATATTTACACCAAGTGAGTGACAGAGGTGTTGGCCAATCACAGCGGGGTAGCTCCCGCCCCCCCGCAGCCGTTACTCTGGCTTGAATGACAGCTCTTTTGACCAATCACCATGGGCTTACTTCCCTCCCGCCCCTCAGTGGCCGTTATGCTAGGATGAGTGACAGCA